TAGGGAAATCACAAGAGATTTCAGATCTTGCAGGAACAGACATGGTTCAAATCACTCAGAGGGAGCAGGGAATTGCCAATATTGTACCTGTTCTAGCAGGTCACCTCCACTGAAGGGGATGTGCGAGCGGAAACACTTCCAGACAGGACTTGCAGCCCTCTCTCGTGTGTCTGCTCTCAAACCACTGTCAAACACCATTTCAGAAAATCTGGAACTCACACAGCAGTGCTTTAGCAGCAACACAAGAAATCCTCTTCTCACAGAAACGTCCTTTCAGCGTTGCGAAGACTGGCTAGAAGAATGCGCTGCTCTGCTGTGTTTTTAAAGCTGCACTGAGGGTTTTCTCCCTCAGCGTACCCAGGTGACAACATTTAATGGCTGAAGTTGGTCAGCCCAATTCAGGTTGTTTGAGGGCAATCTACGTACTTTCTTCCCCAAGTGGATAACCTTTTTAAGGAAAAACACCAAGATCTCCCAACCAAAACCATTTGCAGCAGCCCAAGTAACACTGAGAGCATTCTTGTGTATCCAGTAAATGATCTGGGGGGAGAGAGGGTGTAAAGGCAGGCAAAGCAGGAGCTATGACTACGAATTTATGGAAGCAGTTATAGAAGTTCAATGTAATAGGAACAAGAAAATCTCTCACAAAAACAACTTAAAATGACTTTATTTTTAAAGTATATTAGAACAATATTTACAAAATCATGTTTCATAAATAAAAACATTTTCTTGGGTAAAGACTATAGATCTATAGATATTTAAAATGTCTATATATTTATATACACACACACACACACACAGAAATGGAAGCATACAGTTATGAACAACTTTGGTTTTCAATTACTGCTGGGAAAGGGCTGGGTGTATCAATGATTTTTTTTAAACTCTGGCTTTTAAATTTGTACCTACAAGAAATCCAGAGCAGAGCCCTCAACACAACAGGGTGGTGGGTTTCTCCCATTTCTAGGGCAACTGACTCTGCAGCCTGCACATAGCCACCGAGCTCCTCGTGTTTCAGCAATGCTCAGTAACAGCTCGGCCTCATCCCACAGCAACACAAACGGGTTCTACTGCAGCTTGCTTTACAGGAGTTTACATAAAGCTATTATATATACTGATTTTTATAAGGCAGAATACTTCAACAGATTTCCAGTTGGTTTGTTTTCTAATTCCTCGACTCCTCAACCATTAAATTTCCAGGGAGAATCACTAGTTATAAACAGGGAGCTCTGCATGGCACTTAATCAGGTAAATTCTTACCGTGAATTATTAATGGAGAGTAATCTCCCATCTTAAGGTAGAGATTGCTGTGATTATGGAAAAACCTGTATCAAACGATTCATATATAGGAGCTCAAATCTTATCCTTCTATTGACAAACTTCAAGGTACGAAAGTAAGTGGAAACCATACGTGCTTCTTAAATGTTTTAATCAGATGAATAACCCTCTTCACTGTGGCCAGTTCCACTGATTTTAGTGAGGGCTGGACCATGGGTTGCTCTAAGCAGTTCAGTCCTGCAGCCCTAGCAGAAGGACTGTTTATGAGAGTAAGTATTGTAAAATTGGATACCTCAATTTTATTGTGTTCAATTCTTGACGCAAGGTGTCTGCACTGAGACTTGGAGCTCAACATGCAGAGACTTGAATCCCTGCAACATGTACCCACAACACGCATATGAACCTTACTTTCTAACATCCAAATCTGACGCTTGCCAAATTACGCAGAATCTTTGAAAACATGGATTTTATTACATTACTGTTTGGCAACAGCTTTCCAAACGACACTTTAAATTGTTAGAAGGAGAAAATCATGTGTGCCTTTGAAATATATCACCTTACTACGAACAGGAGACATTATGAAGTTTTCTACAAAGTATACATAAAGTTCTAGAGAAGCCCACTATATTGAACAGCTCTCAAAACAGTTGTAAAACATGGTAAAATCTCATGGAATGTGCAAATCCTAGAAAATTGATTTTTACCTGTACCACTTACATATATACAGAAACTGAGCCTCCTCACTTCTCATTGGCTCCTCCTACTTATTTTCTATGTATTTGTGACGTAATGTAAGCATCACAAACGTGGGTCAAAAATCAAATAGCTTCTTTTTCCATTCAAGAAAACAGATTTTAAAACTCTGTCAAAAATACATTAAATAGGACAACTCCCATTTTTACGAAGCTTCAATGAGTTTTACAAATTCACTGAGTTAGGAAAGCCTGAAATTGCTTCCAGTACCACACACTGCACAACATGAACACACATGAGAACCACATTCAGCATGAAAATTACTAGCTGCTGTGCTCCATAATTCCAGTGCTGAATCAGGCTCCAACAGCTGAGCAGTTTCTCATCAAAGAATATGGAAGAGGCACGGAGGGCTCTCTCACTGGACTAAAATATTGGCCACTGGATCCTACACCACTACTGCCCGTGAAGAGGCATACCACCGTTTTGTGGAATTAGGAGAACTCAGTTAATAACTTAAGGAGAGCTGGAAGTAAACTTTGTCTTTACGCAACGTTGTGTATAAGCATTTGAATTTTTTTTTATAAAAGTTTTGCTGAATGTCAGAAAAGATGTGTTTGTACAATCTCTAACTTCCTGCTTGTATCATAGACATATGACCATACCTTGCCCATGCACACAAGTAAAGAAAACAATAGTCTAAATGGTATTGCAATCTTTGGGCTGAGCAGGCCCATTACCAAAGCAATGACTAATGATAAGTTTTTGAAAATAATACCACTAAGGATTACCGCAGGGAGACCTTGTAGTGGGCAAACAGTGCTTTTTTCTATTCTCACCCTCAACCATACCATATATATCATAACAAAAGAAAATAAAGATCACATGTGGGCAAACACACATGTTCCTCGCTACAGCTGCTGTGACTATAAAATTATATCATTTATATCCAAAGCACTTTTGCCACACATGCAAAACAACTAGTATCCTGAATTTCTTCTCTTTGAGTAGTGCATCTTCAAGGCCACGGTGTATCAACAACGGTGTACTTTTCACATATCACATAGTTCTGCAGTTCTGCGAATTAAAAGAAAAAAAAATTGTTTAGGAAGAGCAGCAACATTTCGTGCGGCCTACTCAAGTTACAGCTTAAAAAAATGACTTCGTTTTATTTCAAACTTTGAAAGCATGCATAGCACTCAAATAGTGGAAAAGAGTGCTACTAACAGCAAGTAATGTTTCAGCCTCTCTACAACACAAAAGTGGACACTGCCTTGGAGCTGAACTCATCAGCTGGAGTAAGCTGTAGGCTCCCAGCCTTAGCTGTCTGACCTGTCCTCTCTTTACCCCTAATGCTGGCTGTTTCTCACGAGCCATTTTGTGACAAGCAACAGCCACTTCTAAAGCAGGACTGACCTTCCACTCCCAACTAACAGGTATATATTTTATCAATGCAAAAGCGCTTATACTCTTACCGGTTTAGAAACTAATGCCATGACATATTTGGATGAATCATGCAGTAGTCACAAACAACATAAACGTAGCAGTACACGGTATTTGTTAGGAAGCCTGTTTTCAAAATTGGCTGCTACCTTTTTCCAAGTAGGGCTAACTAGTACCTCATTTATTGTCGCATTGTCAATTCATGCTTTCTAGAGGTGGCATGATACAAACATATTTCAAGTAAATTAACAGATTTAGAGTTACTTTACTCTTTATCCAGACCAGTAAAAAGTTGCAGTTCGATGCAGAAATACTAGGCTAAGGGTCAGGCTAGTGCTAGGCTAAGATTGCTCAGTTCCCAGGAAGAAACAGAAGTACCAATAGCACCAACAAGTGCTCTTTTATCATAATCCCATGAAAAAGTAGTACAGCTTCTGAACAGAAAAGAATCAATAAACAACTTTTCGTCTTCAAACCTGAGCATCTAATCTAAAATTTAAGCTCTTCAATGACAACTTAAATTTTAAGCTCTCTACGATCTGGCAAGGCAAACTCTGTTTCTCTTCTGATGGGTAAGAGATGAGCTGTGGGAACCAAGCAGCTTAGAAAACTTGGCTTTCCCCTTTTAGGAATACTGGGTCAAGTTAATACAGTTTCTCTCATTTCACGGCTCATTACATATTAGGAGTCTATTTACATGTAATCAGTGTTGCAATCTTACAGGCAGTTATAAATCAGAAACAACTAATCCCAGCATTGTGGACATTTCAAATTGAAATTAAATCTTAAATTAAGCCAGGACACCGCAACGCACATATCTTTGTTTAGCATATTTGGTACATCTTTAAACATAACCAACAGGCAGAAGGCCTGCACCTTTACATCTTAAAGTTCAAAATTCAGGTTTGACAAAAATATGCTGAAGTTAAGCAGTTATTAATTTTTATTAAGATGTGGTTCAGTTCTGTTCATTTTTAAACACTACTATCTAACCCTGAAAATAATAAAGAGTGAAATCTGATAGGAACACAAACAATCTAGCAAAACCCAGAGAATTTAAATAAGATCTAAAGGAGGGGAGGAGGAGAGAAAGTCTACATTTAAACTACTTTCCTGCGAACTTCCACAGGCGATCATCAATTAAATACATAAAGAAGGCTTTGTTATATTAGTAACAACAACAACAACAAAAATCCAACTAAAAACACCAAAAGAAATAGTCCATGCATCTTAAATACTATATAAGCATGCAGGAAGCATATAAAATATTTGACTTTCTACATTTGATCAGAAACATACTATTTAATAGATTTTCACTGCTTATAAATACACATTCTCCTCCTCTGTATGATACAGAAAAATATGTATTCTTTCTTTTCAGTGAAATATAATTTGAATAAAAACAGCACCTGCATGAAACCTGCCCTCCAAGTTTCATCATCACTAGGTAATTCTAAACATCAAAATCCCCAAATACATGTTAATTAAAATAATATCTGGAGATATACTCGAACTTACCATCATTCTAACATCACTCCTTTTGCATCTTTAAAAGCCAAGCAAATGGATTAGTAATGAGCCAGACAGAAAGAAATGCTTCATATTTAATACTCAGATTAATTCTAAAGTTTGGGTTGGAACTTGCTACTATTTGGCATGCCAGTTAGTGAACAGAATAGCAGAAAACCATGTATTTCAGAGTCATCCCTTTCTCACAGTCAATTTCCCCCATCTTAAGCGCTACCAGAGTATTCCAACACAAAGGCAGAGTTGCTCCAACCCACAGAAATACTCAAAGAACAGAGCGGCAAGGAAAGATTTTGCTATAATCGTAACCATTCCATCAAGCTAAATGCTCATGAAGAACTTAAACCAACTTTCAACTAACAACTCTTTTCCTCTTAAAAGCTGGACTTTTTGCAAAGCAAAGAGTGCTGATATAACATCCTGAGATATTAGATCTGCCCTAAAACAGTCACACAATGCCATTGGCTAGCAAGCACAGTAGCACAGAACAAGTTGTCTGGAGCTGCAGGCATAATTTCATCCAGGGATCAAACTCTTACTGACTCCCAGAGTCATCTAAGTTGACATACCCATTTGCCATCACAGGGCTCTTGTATTGAGAACTACAACTACTTTTTGACCTTGTTCTGTAATTAATCCCTTAATTAGAAGATAAGCCTTGAATGTCACCTACCATTTAGTGGTTCTTCTACAGCTTTCTGCAAAACATTTAAAAATATATATATGTATAAAAAGCCTTCATGTTTACTTTTGGCTCGCCACAGTTAAATTACTCTAATTGACATATACAGTAAGTAGTGATTCTACAAAAACGAAGAAAGCTGAGCGTTAATACAATTAATGACTAGAGTCCTGAAAAAATTTAAACCAGTAACTGCATTCTCCAGATTATTTTTCCTCTACTGTAAATTTTTCCTCAGATGAAATACCTCTAGGTGGCAGCAAAAGACAAGCAGATACTACTTTGAGGCTCTAAAATTCGATTATTTCTGAGATTTGATCAATGGTTAGTAAGAAAGCAGCACGATTTAAAAAAAAAAAAAAAAGTAGCCAAGCAATCAAGTGTCATGTCCTCAAAAGGAAATACACCATGGTTGTGCATTTAGTCTGGTAGACAGTCATCAGAAACAACACACGCAATCTACAGAAACATTTAAAAAAATGAAAAAAAAAATCAGTAATTGGTTAAGATGGCAGAATTCAAAATATGCACCTTTTCTCCCTCAGACTCACGAAAATAACAAGCATAATTTTGTAAGTGTGCCCCAGTGTCAGAATTAAGCACTTCACGGATATTAAGGTTTCCATAGTCTTTAGATTACACAGAATCGAAGTGTATTTTCAAAATTACTTCACCCCTATTTATTGCCTCAAAGTACATCAATATATACTGAACAGCCCTTGATGGAAATGAGCAACATATTAACCCACTTTATTTTCCACTAGGTCCTTTCTGTAACTTCTATAAGTTCATGGGCACAAATTACAGTACTGGAATTCCTCTGTAACTGATACTCCACTAACTGCAGCTGCAAGAACCGTATTTTTAGTGGCTGAGATTTCCAGTGACCTTTAAGTTTTAAAAATTTCTTCTGATTTCATTCCTGTCTCCAATTCAGAGACTAACATGGTGTTCACTACTATGTAAGTGTGGCTATTTCTTTGTCAAATCCTCGCTGCAGTGAAAAACCACCTTGTGAAGAGAAGAGCTCATAAAGAGAACAGAATTTCACAAAGGATGTTGTTTAGCACGTTGGCTTCTATTTCAAAGCTTATTTAAACCAAACATCAAATTAAAAAAAAAAAAATCCCCTCTTGTCCTGTTTGCTTCCATTCTACAAGTAAACACGACCATGTTAGACAAAGGTAAGACTGTTTTGAAAGAAATGTATCTGTAATATATTTCTCAGCCCATTTTTGTAACATAATGAACTTTGTGAATCTTTTTTATTTTATTTTTTTTAAACTCCATTCAGTTACATTCCTTCCATAAGTAAAGAGATCAATCCTCTGAAATACTATTCCTTAAGATGAAAACGGATGAGAAAAGCAAGGAAAAAATATTTTGTGACTCTATTTGCTTCTGCAAAACTCCAGAAACATCCGGCACTGCATAAGTCCATGAAAATTACTCTTATAGGAACGATTATGCCAGAATTAAAAAAAAGAACACCTGACTGAAAAACCTCCTTCAAAAACCAAAGTGCTTTTCCATTTGTTCTGTGTGATCTAAAGACAGACCCTCTGCTCTCAGATGGTCTCATCAAATTAAGGGGCATTACAGGAAAATAAGAGAGAAAAAAAGATCAAGGCTATAGCATATGTATAGCTTGGAATTCAAGAGAATATTAAAGTGTTCTGGTGTAAAAGACCATAGGGAAAAAAAAAAACAAGTCTTTGTTATAAGCCACCTAGATTTAAAAAAAAAAAAATCTATGGTATTCTGCACTCATCTTAATGAAAAGGCATTTTCATTAAGGTGAGCAAAAGGTCTTTACAAATTCAAGCGAAAGAGCACATTGTAAAAACACCAAACTTCTCTTCACATCCACCACCTTTTTACGACAGCCCTTGAAACTCCATTTGGGGACAACAGTTGGAGTAGCTGTTAGGTCACAGTGGCAATTACAGTACTAGAGACACACTCAATAGGGACAATGAAGACCACCAACTCACTCAACATTAGACATCTGTTACACAGCCAGAACTTTTGCTTGCTACCAACCTGGTCTGAATTCGAACTAGTGAAGAAAGGTTCAGTATCTCACTACAATCCCCTGAGCCATCTAGTCACCCCAAATTTATTAATTTTAAGCTTACCCCTGGACGAGGATGATCTTTCATGCTGGAACCTAAAATAATTACAAAAAAGTAACCAGGCAGGTGAATAAATGTCATGATCAACCAAACAAAAATATCTACTGATAGAAACTGGAACAGTAGCAACACACAAAATTGAAACTTCCTCTATCCAAAACTACTTAATATGACAATATGCAAATTCTTAAAACCTCTAAGCACTCCTCTGTTTAGGAACTAAATTATTTTATCACGTATAGTCTGTGAATTGTCCCACTCATGGATTCAGCTCTAAAAATGAATTATGCTGCATACTACTCTTTGTGCTTATTTCAGTGTGCTGGAATCTACCTTAGCAGTTTCATTTGACTTCTTCAGCCAGCATAATTAAACTAGAAACGCAATATTTATGCAGACCATTAGCACACAGCATCAGAGTCACCTGTACAAGTACTCCAAGCTCAATAAAAATTACTTTTGTCATTGTGAAAAGACTTGCTTCACCTTTGTTACATTTTTGACTTATCTTCATCTATCTCAGGTACCAAATACTGGGCATTCTGCTTTAATTTCTTCTTTAACGGAAATCCTCCCTCTCTCAGGGTCTGTTATTTCTGACCATGCCCACACATGGTGTACACATACTAGACCTGCAAGACTGCACGGTTCAGTGCAGATTAAGGACTGCGCTGACTACAGACACATCAGCTTGAGCATGGAAGCAATATATCCTCAATTGCATGCTTCTGCGTCCAAACTAACAAGCTGTTTGAAAAGCCTTCATGCACAGCTTGAAACAAATCTATTTGATATCTGGGGAACAGACCAGTTTCTAAAATAAAAGTATTGCTATTCTTTGCTCCTGGCTTTTAAGATTAAGGGTAAGAAGATACAAGATTCACTAAAAACAAAGGTGTGCATTCAAATTGCTCTTATTTTAATCTCCTTCTAACCAGTGGAAATCTGTAGGCAAATTTTGCCTCTTTAAATTCCTACTTTGACTAGTTTATGTCTGCACCATCCCATACTCCACTGTATAGAATCCTTGGAATCATTTTGTTCTCTGCTCTAAGCTTCAGCTAACCAACTGTGTAAATGCAGAGCTTAAACAGCAACATCCGTCCTACAGTTGAAACACTCTTAAGTAACCTCTCTGTGTTGATCTCAAGACAGTTTATTATGATAAGCTTTAAATTTTTTTACTCAAGATTCTCCACAAGCTCTGTGAAACAAAGCAAATACGTATGGAGAACTTTTTACTAGTTTCTTAAACTACATAACTCAAATCACACCTTACGTTCAAATAAGCAGTCTACCTCTGAAAAGTACACTAGAGAAAATTGCTTTTCTGAATATTTAAGCGCTAAAAAAAAATAATGCCAAATATTAGGCGCTACTTACCCATAATAAACACGTAACCCAGACTAAGCAAAGTTGCAATACCCATAATAGCTAAGCCAGCAATCACAACAGACCCATGTAACGGAGGACAGGCTGTTAAAAACAAGATAAAAGAAACTGTATCATCTGACACAAGTAAAAGCATAAACTTTCATATATATAACTGAATACTACAAGAAAACCTGATAAAAACAGATGTGATTAGTTTCTCTTTCAAAGCTATTCCAGACCTACGTTTGCATCTTTCTTTTTCTGTATACATTCTCTAAGGATAGAGGCATTTACTGATTTATCCTGCTCAGCTGTACTATTCTACTACAGTTCAGCTATTCTACTGTCACTCACTGCAACTGACAACATTCTATCTTTAATTGTATTTCAAATTTAAATTTATATCTTCAGTCCCAATTGTTTTGAACTATAATTGCAGATTAGATTACTGAATGTAATACTATTACTGATAAAACAGGGTAAGAAAAGGGAAGAAGGAAGCAGAATAAGAGGGCAGTTCTGAGGCAAATCCACCACAGGTAACAGGAACGCTCCATGTTTTCAGGGATATCACGAGCAAGCACAGGCTTTTTTTTACAACCTCACCATAGTTCACTACAGAAACTTCTTGTTCTCTGATCTCTGTTTCCAGAGACCCAGGGTCACTACAACTGAGCTCAACTTTGGATAAGCTGTTTCTGCTGACAATTAGGGTAATTTAGCTAAACTTCCAGAGATACAAATAACATCTGCCCTGTATGATCTTTGAAAAGGGCACCCTGAAAAACTAGGGAGACTTTCCATTTGAGAGCAGAATAAAACCATACTCCATTTAGTATTACTCCAGAGGATTAATGCTTTACCAGAAATCTCACATCATTTTATTTTACTATTACATTTGACAACACTTAGATGCTCCTTACCAATACTTCTGTAAATAATAAACAATAAGCATAGCTCCACTGAAAGATCTATCATTTCACCCAGATTAGACAAACCCTTAGAAACCACTTTCAGGAAAGCTAGTTTTTCTTAAAACCCCATCAAATAAAACTATTAAAATGAAAAATGTCTCTACAAAACAATAAATCAGGAGTATAAAGTACTTCCAGTAAGCATGGGTATGTACACTAGTACTAAATATACTGCCAAGGGTGCCCAGACCTAAATTCACCCTTTTCTCTGCTGTGGCATTTTCTAGTGGGCGAGATGGAAGGCAGGCATGGGACAACCAGACTTAAAACAGTCCAAGAACACTTCAAAGTTTACTGTCTCACCATTTGCCCTCTTAGGCTGTTTCAATGGTATCGGTTTCCCAGAGATTCTGTTATCAGTTGTGCACAAGTGGAGATTAACTAGAAATTTCTGATTTATTCACTGAACATGAGATTATTATTATGACTCTAGTTTAGTTTCTGAATACCTTAGGCCTCAGTAAGAATAACTGTGATAAAGGTCAATGCTGGATTTGAATGACTCTTAAGGGGAATAAATGTTGCAAAATTAAAACAATTAACTTTTTTTTTCCCTCCAAAGCAAGTGCTCATAGAATGCCATCATGCTGGATATAGTCATACTAATGAAACTGATAAAGTACTACTGCCCTTGGGCTATTCTTCTTTCACCAGACAAAAATGCATTAACACAGCAGTACTAAAGTACTTTTACGGATGTTACTTGCTAACGCTCAATGGGGGGAAGGCATTTTTACAGCATTTTAGTGTTACAAATAACCATCAGGTATAGTCAAAAGTAAAAATAATTTGACAGAAGAGAAATTGCTTACCTGAGACACACAGTGCAAAACCAACCACAGCAACTATATAACCAAGAACCTGCAAACCTATCAGAGCAAATGTTGCTTGTGGCAGACAATCGAAAACTGGGAAAGACAGAAAGAGAAACAAATTATAATTTTTGAAGTTTAACTACGGAGACATTAAAGGTAGATCATTCATCTAAAGCCATAAATCAGATTCTCCTATATTCTAAGCTCAGCGAGCCAGTGCGATAACAAAACTCCCAAGTTGTGGTAAGGGGCCTCAAACAAGAACTCACTCAAGGAGATTATTTTTGTAACTGTGACACATACATCCTGGTACAGATACATCCTAGTACATTCTGAAGGACTGCAGATAAACCAGCAGAACACGGCCTGGGACTAAGATAAGGGAGCTGAGGAAAAGTTACGGGGTCAGGAAAGATATGGGAGAAGGACTCGGAGCTCATGGAAAGAACAGCAAGAATGCCTCTTCAGAGCCACAGGGGACCACCAGAGACCACCAAAGGACCCCCTGTACGCAAGCACAGTTGGATCCAAGAATGATTCAGCAGATGTTTAAGTGTAGTATAATTATATTTGAATTTCTACCAATCACTGTAACTTAGATTAGGCAATCCTTAAACTTTTGTGTATAAATATGCCAAGAAAAGTGCCAGTAGTCATGCGAGCTTGGATAAAAGCTTGGTGTAAATCATGCCCCTTGCACCCAACACTGAATAAAGAATGGCTGCTTCTTAATGCTATGTTGGTGTTAAGAGGCTTTTCTATTCCCGACTTTGGTGACAAAGTCACTGCAAGTCTCTCAGGGTTCTTATATGTATATGCACACAATCAAAAATAGATGTATATACAAATAAACCTGTAAACAAACCACAAGTGGAAAAAACTAAACACACACATTCTGAGAATTAGTTATTCATCCTAGTCCCATGACCCAGGAAGGAAGAGCAGGACTCACTCAGATGTCCTACCCTAAATCTCATTTTTCAAGCAGGAAACTTATAGTTCCTTCCTGAAGCACACACAGGTTAAACTTTTGTTTTGAGATACTAGGAAGGTCATGAATCCAGGATGCTATCATAGCACCTATTTATAAAAATGAAAATAGTTTGCAGGGCAAATTATAGATTAGGGGAGGTGGGTGGAAGGAAGGGAGCTCAGTTTTTCTATCAGTATGTTCTTGAGCTAGTGAGTAAATACTCACCCATTCCAAACATGAAGTATTGAAGCAGTACCACAATCACAGCAGGGATTACAATTAGGCCAAGACCAGCTTGATTCTGTGCAGTATAGCCATCTGCAAACAGCGGTATGGAAATTAGTAAAACAGAAATCCTTGATTGGAATAAACCACAAAGCAAGAAATGCAAATCGTTAGTATCATCAGGATTTTTTGGGTCCAAAAAAAATCCCACTGAAGCATCAGAAGTCACTCCTAGCCTCTAAAATTCACTCAAGGTAGCAAGACAGAAAATAGAAATAAATTTGGAGTCTATATCTCCCCATGATCATCTGAGGGCCTGACAACCACAGTGCTGTTTCTGTTGTAATTCTACAAATTTACTTTTTTTCATTTTAAAATTAGTAGATGACACTTAATAGGTGGTACTAACTTCCATACTACTCATGGAAGAGATTAATCTGTGCTTCCATTCCCCTAAATTAGGAAGGCAATTTTAATACACTTACCTTGGGCAAAAAGAATAGTGCCTACAACAGCAGAAACTACGATGATGATACCTGCTGTAATAGTGACCGTTTTCTTCTGAGGTACGATTTCATATTTTAATGCTTAAAGACAAAACAGATAAGAGGAAAACAGTAAGACATGCAGATTCTCACAAAAATACTCAGATTTTATTATTAGGACGTTTGTCATAAAAAAAGAAACAAGCTCCTAAAAAATTAGACTATATATATTACCAATATTTCAGTTGGTTTTATTGTTTGATATGGTTAGTATGGCTTACACAGATAAATGAAACCTGGCATTGGTGTTCTAGTCAAATTCTTAATTCTACCTTCCATACAATTTAGGTGATATGTTACCAAAATAACTCTGGGACATGGTACAGGTTAATTCAAGTACACGCACTACTGACATTTGAATAAAGTTACAGTGAATTTGTCACTCAGGTGAGCGTCAAGCAGGGATTTAGAAATTCCAGGTTTAATTCTCTTCCCCATGACACTGAGCTCAGGCATATCACCCCCATCCCCTAGGGGAAAGGGTGATGTTCCCATCTCACCAGAATGCTTTGAGGATCAGTTGTTATGGGATGGCCTACATATCCAGAAGCCATTGACAAGATTAATTTTCAGTAAAACCACACTGATAAATAGCTGCCATGTCAGAAATGGTTGATACCAGTGGAGGGTTTCAAAGCAGCAGCATTTTAGTAGTCTTTGGAAAAGAAGGAACAGTACAAATACAGTATCATAATAAGCACTGTTTGTTTCTGCCTTACACACTGCTAAAAGCTAAGACACAAAAACAGCAGCTCTTGCTTCAAGCCTGAAAATTAATATACCAACAACCTCAGTACATATTGAAATTGGTAGAGAACAAACAAATAGTGTAAGTAACTTTAAAAACAACAACAAACAAACAAACAAGGAGCATGTATAGAATTAAAATGCACTGTGTTAGCACACACAAAAAAATCAGTAGGATACAGTAAATATTCTAGAGGGCAGGTATGACAAAATCTTTAGTAGTATCTTATCTATGGAAGGCTTAAAGAATCCCTCTCTTGTAACTAAAACTCCATCTTTCATTATATTCACATTGCCTAACACAACAGGATCCCAGTCATACTATTAAGTACTAATGTCATTGAAACCAAAAGCTAATTTGGAATAGTAGTAATATTAAAAACTTCCACAGTATCTATACTGGAAATTCACTTTTTTGTGAACCATACAAAGTAAACAGTAAGTACATCCACATTTATTAAGTTAGAGGTAGCATGATTACTTTTCTCCACAGAGGTGTCAGACCTTGCAATAAAGTGCAGTGATGCCAGAAAATCCAAGCAGGCTCAACTTACTTCCGTAAAATGACAGCGCTTCTCCATGGCTGTACCCATGCTTACTTCAGGACAACTATTACTTGCCTATCAAAATGCTACAAATGTTAAAGTTCTACTACGAATGCAAGCCAATGACAATTCCTGAACATATCAGACACTCCTAAACCATTATAAACAATAATGAAAATCAGGAATCTGACACTATGGAAATAAAAAAATTTAAAAAAATATATTAACATCCAACTTCTGACCATGGATGGACCTTTGAAGAGTCACATACTACTTTCAGAGAGTCATGAAAAGGTAACAAAGGAAATTATATATAAATGGCTGAATACATATGTGATTACTATAAATCACTCTGAGTGCACTTTTCTGAGTTCCATTTCTTATGGACTGAAGTCCAAGCAGAATTTTTTGGGGTTGTTTGGGTTTTGTTGGTTTTTTTTTTAGAAGTCTACAAATTGAAAAAGACTAAAAAAACCTCAAAGACTGATGTAATAAATTATAATAAATTCAACAGGGAACCATCTGAAAGACCAGGACATAAAGCACACTTTACAATGCATAGATGTTGGACCCCAATGTATAAAGAATATCTGATGTCTGACACTGGTGAATGTATTGCCTCTAAAAACATTTAACAAAATCATTTATGTTGGTATTAAATGATAACTCGACCAGTGCTAACGAACAATTTTACATTAAGAAGAGAGCATCATCCTTCTCTAATATTGATTTTATGACCATAAAATGAGACACGTTTCTGTTTCTAATGATTCAATGTTATGGTGAACCAACAGTGAAGAAAAGCTTCCTTGTTCTAACCAATGACAGGAGACATTATCAATGATACCCCACCAAAATTACATACATGTAAAAAAGCTCATCATTTGCACCAGTACTGGCAGCAGAAACATCACCACATGACAGAGCAGCTCTAAACAGTCCCTTTAGGCTACACATCATCTCACACCTTTGCCTACAAAGACATACAGCTACTAAAAACCTTAACCTCAGGAAGCAAGCCCTGGCCTCCAAGCAAGCACACAGACTGGCCCAGATCTCACTGCTTAGAGCTAGACCCCCTTCAACACAGCACCTGCATCTACACTGTGTGACTGGGGCACTACGTGGCACACTGAAACCCGAAAACACACATTTTTTTTATGAGGTCATGGTTTTTTTCAGTTCAAAGGTCCCAAACTCTGCAAACACTAAGCCAGAGTTGTGTTTTCATAGCTTCACTGAAAAGGAAATGGAAGACTACGCAGCACAAAAGAGTGTAGCCTAGTGTGCTCTTACTGACCAAGCCTGTAAATAACAGTGCTTATTATAACAATCTTGAGAACTGTATACGAGTGAACTCTCCCATGGTGTTCACTGACTTGCCAAAAGCAAGCTCAAAAATGAACGTACGTAACACAATGTGGATGATCAGAAGAGGATTCCAGAGCAAATCAAACAGAGGTATTCGACAAGCAGACATACCACTCCTCCGTGTATTATCTGGATCAATTCTATGACACATCTTTTAAATGCAAGCACCATCTTTCATCTTACATGGATGCCTTTATGCAAGCAAGTCATTTTAGGACAAATCAATAATTGCAAAGAATTAGAGAGTCAATACTTACCAATAACACTTAACTGAGCTGCACACAAAATAATAACCGAGATCAGCAACGCTATGATGATAGCCCTTTCCACTAGAACGAACCATGATCCTAGAGAATAAATGAAGAAGAATGGTAGGAAGAAAACAAAACCTGAGCTTGTTAGCTTTGCATTTATTGCTCCTTTTATGTTATGCTCTAGATTGCTCAATACTGTATGTAACAGTTAGCCTTAAGAGTTATAATAGGCTAAGAAAGCTATGAGTTCTACCTGTGGATTTTTCACTCTGATCTTACGTGTGACAACCTATCTTTTCTGTATTTCTAGTTACACTGACATTCTCCAAACTGGAGGTCTTAACCTCCACTGCAGCAGAGGGTATGTTTATAGCTTTGCGTGGCAGTACAAGCTAGTTAGCTTGCAGAACCACAACAGCAAAGTAGAACAGAAAAGCAATGTATTTAGGCTAAGCAGGGAAGCTGGGCAAGATATTGAGTCCAATTTGATGCTTCCCTAGCTATTCTATTCTACCTCCAACTGCTCTAATTCCTGAAGAAATCCATATGTATGATGAGGAATATAGGATCTAACCTATATGTAAGAAGGAAACACTGCTTTGTTAATTTTAGAAATCACACATTTTCCTCTAGGCCTTTCCACCATCATCCATTTAGCTCTTTTTCCCCGTGCATCTTGGGATGCCTTAGGCTGTTCAGTCACTTGTGCTCTAAGACCGTGTGAGCCACCTTCCAACGTAAAATTCTGAAAATATCTCCACTGAACTAGAAAATGCAGTTGATTCTTGCATCTCTGCTCATAACTACATTTAGACTCACTCAGTGGAATCCAAAGTCTCTATTTCTTACATTATACTTGCCAGTGTTCCTCTGTCTGCACACTTGCTTCCAAATAAATTTCTAATATTCATCTAGATGCATACTCCTTGCACTTACTCTCCATATTTAATAGTTTTATCTGCAGCTCAAAAAAACTGGAATTAGGTAGCAATACCTCACAACTTTCAATGACAGGCAAATACCTTGAGAAGTTTTAAATTCACAAATTTCCCTCTTCCCCTCCTGCCCCCACAAGGGGTCATAGAAGATACTGTGGTTACAACATGAATACAAGGCAATCAGAAAACACACTACTGGAGGAGTACCTGCCAGCTTCCTTATCAGCAAAAGAAGCCTAATTCAATGAATTGTTTAAAGGAAGACTTTTAGCTTTATATGCATTTTCAAAAAAGCAGCTAATATTGAACAGTAACTTCAATGCACAGTTGCCATTCTCTAGATAAGCCGAATTCTACAGGCAAATACCAGCCAAGCTATTAAATGTAACTAAGAATCATCAATGAATTGAAAGTATCTGCAAGCCGAGACTCTAAAGCAGCTTCACTTCCTCTGTAGTGCTTCCAGATGACACTACCAAGTGTTACAAGTAGAAAAAAAGAAAAAAGAAAAAAGAAAAAAAGAAGAAAAAAAAGCAGCAGCCATGAAGCCTGGTATCTTATAGGACTTCAGCATGCAACATGGAACCTGTCACTCTCCTGTGAAGATAACTGAACAGGAAAGTGTGCCCAAAGACAAGGGAACTAGCATATAAATTTTGCTCACTCTGCTACCCACTTCCTAAATGAATTCAGGAGTTGAGCAAAGTGAGCTGGAGAACAGTTGGCTCTCACAGGACTACCTTTGTAAAAGCATCACTTGGAACATATTAGTAGTGACAGCATGAATTCATTGCTCAGAAATGACAGTGTGAAGATTGGTACAGTATTTCCATTATTCACTAACCTTTTTCAAAATTCACTTGCTACACTTCCTTCTATTAGCTTATTACCTCAAGAGTCTCTCTAGAGCACTGAGGAACAAACAGCAAAAAATTAAGCAGAGGAATTTAAAGAGATAACAAGTAACTGTTTTAACTTCAGCTAAACCCTTAAACATAAGACTTAATTTTACATTTTCTAGCATATACTCTCAAACCTAATGTGACCTCGCAACTATAAAATCTTCACCAACCACATTTTTCCTTTGGTGTTGGGGTACTTTCCTCGTCGCAACTGTCAACTAGAAAATGAAATTGGAAAAATTACATCAGTTTCCTGCTTTGTAGTCTTCATAACGCTTTCTAAATTCTAAACAAAGTAAAAATAAAACAATAAAACTCACAAACGGGACTTGATTCTACTACACCCTCAAGCCTTGTTTTGTCTTCTAATGGTTAACACTGACTAGCAAAAACAGTCCAAAAAGGCTGAGTGAGGAAGAAGTTACAAGAAGGAAATTGTCTGTACCTTTTCTCCTGTTTCTGCAGTGTTCTAACAACTGAATGATTTTGTAGAATTCTCACTCTACTCTTTCAGTGGCTGTGCCCCTCTCAGTCCATTTCAGAATCACATTTGTTTTGCAGTGTATATGGTTAACTCAACAATTAGACCCAATTGCGAATTACACAGCTGCTTGCAGCAGGACACACGTAACATCTGTTTGAGCTTCAAAAATATTTAATGACAAATGCAAAAACTAATAGCAAAAACGTCCTAGGACAATTCGACAGTGGTAAGACTGCCTGTGCTACACACATGTAACATATTCAGTGCTTCTGAGCAGCTTTCCAGAAGGAAGGAGCAAGTCTCCTATGCAGAACAGATGAACAATACACACATATGTTCAGTGAAACTCTCCCTTCTGCAGAATACTAGACAGACTGCACATGTACAGCAGACCCCATCTAAAGCGCTAGAGCACATGGGCTGCGTCTGACAAGATAAGGTAAAAGCCACAAAGTGGATTTCTCACTAAATGAGAAATTCATCACTTAGTCACTATTATTTTAGTTTAATGTAGTCTTTTGAAGAAAATGCTAGACATTTAATGCTAGGCATTTAATGCTAGACAACCATTAAAAAGTTACCATCCTGTAGCAGCATTTTCCGCCTCTCTGGAAAACTGCATACTTTCAGATTAAATTTTAGAGCTCTTACAGTATTAGTTCTATCTGTAAATTTTCCAGCATAGCTAAAGCCTGCTAGATGCAATTCATCAAAGAAAAGATCTCTGCAGCCACTGTGATGAATGTATACATTTCAGTGTATTTACTAAGACATCAGGAATACGTTGCAGTATGTAGTGCAATTATGAGCATGCAGAAAAATATCACCAACTGTATCATCTAAAAGATGTGGGAAAGCACAGATTTCATTGAAAGTGATCTTCAGACATTATAGAACAAAAAAATGCGTTCAGATCTTTCCCACAGAAGCAGTTCCCCATGACTTAACCACAAATAGATCACATTAGCATTCAAGTTAGAAGGCCTGGGCGCTATACTTTTTGTATTTTCAATTTAAAGTAATGCATTGTCATATACATTAAATTTCTCTTTCCCATAAGATTTTGCTTGTTTCCTCTCCCAGCAGATTCTAAAACAATGGCAGGCAACTCACCCGTGTGGTTTCTAAGTTCAACTCTTGTCTCTCCTTCTCTGCTTGATTCTGTTACTTCACAACTGTAATTTCCAGCATCTGCTTCTGCACTGTTAAGCGTTAAAGAGGCAACACCCTTGGGTAAATCAGCTTGAGATACTAAGTTAGCTGATGAAAACGCTGGATCTTTGAAAAATTCCACTTTTCCTCCATCAAAAGAAAAAATTCTTTTTCCTTGTTTTTTCCACGTAACAAACATGACAGATGCATTGTTCTCCTTTAGGTTAGTCACATAGCAAGGTAAAATGACAGTTTTATTACAGATAGTTCTTTCAACAACATCTGTCACATTAAATATCAACTGGGCAGAACCTGTAAAGAAAAATGAAAATTGACACATTCAGAATTATTTCTTAATACACAAGAGAAGAATGAAAAAAGAATTACAACATATGACTTGGGAAAACAAACCAAACTCTCCCACAAAACCACCAAAAGAGAACCATGCTTTAAGGGAGGAACAAAGAAAGGCAAAAAGGCAACATTATAATTCTGTCACAGCCCCTCTACACAGACTTAGCCACTCTTGCATCCATTTAATGCATAGATAACATAACCTATCATTTAAAAAAAAATAATAATAAAACTTTGGGCCGCTACTTACTTGGATATCTCCCCTAAAGTACCATACGGAGAAATACTGCGTTAAGGCCTGCAAAGCAGAAATCACATTAACCACAGGTTGTCCCACTGATGTTCAGACTTCTGCTGATCACATGGGTATCTAAAAACGAAGGTCCAGGCTTCAGCTCCACACAAGCGTCTGTTACAGTTCGTTAAGTACACGGGTAAAAATTCTACTGTTACACTCGAGAGAAGGCAGGCAGGGCAGCAGTCAACCAGGGTTTGGCATTTGTTCCTTCTTGTCTCTGAAGGTGGAGCCAAATGCCCATAGGTTTAGATCATTTCTTGCAAATTCTCTCTCATTTCCTTTCCAAAGGAGGAGGTGCACACACACCACCATATATTAAGTAAGATCATAACTTGGTATTTAAGTGTATACACAACAGAACTGAAAATGGAGAATTTGTAGAGTGTCCTGTATTATATATCGTTATGAATAATGGTACTAACAATAGCATTCAATGCAGGTAATGAAAAACCACCACCACAGAGGACTGTTTCCACCGCTGTTTTATATTTCTCTCCCACACTGCACCACAATCCTAAAATGGGAGTACTGACTGAACACTGTTTCAAGACAGACCTAAACCCTATGCCAAGGTTTTATCTGAAATGAAGACCCATTCATCAGTTCTTGATAATATCAAAAGTTATAACATCAGTATTTAAATTACATCAGGAACCAAGACAGGTTACTTAAACTAGCTTTACTGCAAAATATGAAGGCTTTGAAGCCTTTATTTTCTATAGTTTTCCTCCTTTCTGTGAAACTGTAACTCAGTTTAACAGCTGTCCTCCCCAAAGTCTCAGTGACATTAATCATTCAAAATGTTTGACTATATCCACCTGATAAAACCAAATATGGGAAAAGACGTGTACTGTAAAACAAGACTGCAACCCCTAATACTGTAAGCACACAAACTTACACACTGGAGTAGCTCCAGTGACTTTGGTGAAACTACTGGTATTCACATGTCTAAATCAGCTCAGAATTGTGGCATGTATTTGATGACTAAATTCAATTACAGGAAATAAAGGAGGAAAAAAAAGAAAAATAAAATCTGTAACAGTCAAGTCACTATTTGCTGTAGCTCACCGTTTTCAAAGCAATAGTCTCAGATCAAATTACTAGTGAATATCAAAAGCTTCTATGAACTCACTAAATATGCATTATGCATGACAGCAATTAACAATGAGGAAAGAATTATTTTCTGGTTTACTCATTGTGTTGCATTTTTTTTAAACCGTACCTCAGAAAATAAAAGTAACAAAAGTAGAACAAAGGGAAACAGCACCCAAACCACACACCAATGACAAATAAAAGCACACAATTAAAAGCTGGAGTGCTTCAGTGGTTCCTCCTGAAATAAATTTCACGTTTGTTTTACTTTAACAGTAGTACCTCACGATAAAAGGTTTCTGAGTATGGGGTTGTTCAGTTTGGGGTTATTTTTTCTCCTCCTTTAGAGCTAGCACATGTACACTTTGAAGAAAGAATTTATTCTCCCCTGGCTCCATCACTGAATAAAGCAATTTTCAACTAAAGAAAGCAACTATACTTCAAATATTTACCAAAGCAAATAAAAAACATTCATCTTGAAGGAATTTAAACAAATTGATCACGATTTTCTCACTAGTACCAGCAGAGAATGGCAGGGAGCTGTAAATTATCAATTCCACCGATTTGGTATTGTGTAGTCTATGAGAGCTGGCATATTTTGCCTGAAGCCAATTAAGAAGTACTCATGTGAACTGCTCCACCAGCTGAGCGCTGGGGAAATAACGAGCAGGCTGCAGACAGGCACCAGCAGAAGCACACAGCCAAATATTTGTGGGTTTTGTCCTCTGCAAAGCTGACTGCTTTAGCAGAAAGGGTTAAAGGGCTGCTATCTCACTAAAGGGAACCTGACTGCTTACTACAGATGATATTTCCACTATCAATTTCCCACGGTCTTCTCGCAGTATGAGGAAGTCATCAGAACCCTTTGGCAATGGTTCCCAAATCCTGAAGGCAGTGGACTACTAGGTGGACTCCTAGCCTCAAACTTTCTCGTGGACTATTGGCATAGAGGTGGGGCAATTTTAGAGCCTTACACTAAGCAGTCTAGGGGGGCTGCTTCTGAAGAATATGCAGTTGTGAAGCTGCCACAGTAAAGTTGTTTCAAATGACATATGCAATGCAAATTCAGGAACACTGTCAGAACTGGCTAAGCTTGGTAGTTGCACCTGATGGACACCTGACATTTCTCACCAACTACAAAACATGCTAGGGCACTTGACATTTCAGGCAGCTTCCTGCTAACTCAGGTGCTCAGACATGAACTTAAATAGCAGCTTTAACCAAGCAGGTTTAGATATGCTGCTTACTAGCAGAAGGACAATCTAACATTTGTACCTCAGTTAAAGTGTTACAATTTTTTTAACTCTCCTTCCCGCCACCGAGTTTCTTCTCGAGGCCCAGAAAAAATAAGAAGTTAGACTGCGAGACGCCATTTACACATCAGTAACACCCCAACTTTTTTTTCAGATCAAGAAATGCCACCATCCCGAGAAGCCGCACAGCAGACGACCAGCTTGCTCATCGTTATTTCGTCAAGAAAGCACATCAAGCTAAGCTGCCCTAATGCGACTGGACGCAAGAAGACGAGGAGCTTCGCGCTGGCCACGGCGTCCCTTCCTCTCCCCCGCAACTTCTGCAAGCGGCAACCCACCCCCAATCCCGGGGCGGGGAGATGAGGGAAGCTGTGAGGCGCTGGGCTGGAGGAGCACCCCCCGCAACGGATGGCG